CTGGCCAAGGACCCTTTGCATTTACTTCTCATACAACCCCATCTATAAATATATTTAAAAACCACGGGACATCAACAATCCTTGTCTAAGGCCTATTTTTACTGGATAGAATTTCCCTCCTTTCATACATACTCTAACTTGAAAACACCTCACTATCCTCGTAAAAACTCTTCCTGCTTTCAGTAACCTACCTCTACACCATGCACTTGCAACATCTGCCACATGCCCCTTATCCACCCTTGTCATACGCCTTCCAAAAATCATATAATGCCACAAAGAAAACCCTTTTTTTTCTTTAGCCTTATCGAAATACTGTTTCAATTACATGTTTTCATGTAATCATATATTAATATATCATAGTTATATTATATATATATTTATATATATATTTATATATATATATATATATATATATTTATATATATATATATATATTATATATATATATATATATTATTATATATATATATTTATATATATATATATATATATATATATTATATTTATGCAAAACAACCACTTGAAAGATAGAGAAATTCCAAGCCGCTTTCGTGACTACTCACTTATCATAGGAACTATGGAAGTAATGTATCCAAGGAAGCTATATAAGGGGTCTGGCCAGCCACCTCACTATAAGATCCACAACGGTTAAACACCTGGCGACGCGCCGACCCAACTTGGATAGGTCCTTGGCCACAACTAACCCCACAAAACTATTCTGATATGTCTACTGATATAATTAAGAAATTTTAAAAGATTATTTGTCCAGTGTTTTATTAAATTCTCCCAATTCTTTTAATTATAAATGGATCGAACTTATATAAATCCAAAGGAAATATTTCATATTATTGTCAAAACTGTTTATATATATTTTATATATTTATATATATATAACTTTATATATATTATATATATATATATATATTCTATATATATATCTTATATACTATATAATATATATAATATATATATATATTTAATAAACACTAATCTCGGGTCGAAGGAGATTCGAATTCTACACCATTTGGGAACAAGGTACGGCAAGTGTCTACCACCTTACCACACTGGCCCAATACCACACTGGCCCAATACCTTGGCGCCCAGTCTAACGTTAGCACGTTTTGGTCCAAGCAGTTAGCATTTAGACAGGTGGCTTTCAGATTTTCTTCTCCTCCCCTGCATATATCGACGACGATGCAGGGGAGGAGATGAAAAGCTGAAAGCCACCTGCCTGAATGCTGGCTGCCTTCGACCAAAACATCTAGCATTAGCGGGCACCAAGGTATTAGGATCAGTTTGGTACGGTGGTAGAGCACTGCGTACCTTGTTGCAGGGTTCGTAGGTTCGAATCTCCTTCGCCCTGAGATTAGTGTTGTGAATATTTCGCCTGTTCTGTGAATTTTAAAAGAAAACAAAAAAAACACACAAACACACACACACCACCATTGCATACAGATTGCATTTTCTTGGACTGTACGAAGGCGTTTGACACAGTTCCACACAAGAGATTAGTGCAAAGCTGGAGGCCCAAGGGGGGATAACAGGGAAGGCACTAGAATGGATCAGGGAATACCTGTCAGGAAGACAGCAGCGAGTCATGGTACGAGGCGGGGTGTCAGAGTGGGCGCTGTGACGACGTGGAGTTCCACAGGGGTCAATCCTAGGACCGGTGCTGTTTCTGGTATTCGTGAACGACATGACGGAAGGAATAGACTCCGAAGTGTCCCTGTTTGCAGATGATGTAAAGTTAATGAGAAGAATTCAATCGGACGAGGATCATAAACTACAAAGGGATCTCGACAGGCTGCAGACCTGGTCCAGCAATTGGCTCCTGGAGTTCAACCCCACCAAGTACAAAGTCATGAAGATTGGGGAAGAACAAAGAAGACCGCAGACGGAGTACAGTCTAGGGTGCCAGAGAATGCAAACCTCACTCAAGGAAAAAGATCTTGTGGTGAGTATAACATCAGGCACATCTCCTGAGGCGCACATCAACCAAATAACTTCTGCAGCATATGGGCGCCTAGCAAACCTATGAACAGCATTCCGACATCTTAATAAGGAATCGTTCAGGACCCTGTACACTGTGTACGCTAGGCCCATATTGGATATGCGGCGCCAGTTTGGAGCCCACATCTAGCCAAGCCCGTAAAGAAAGTAGAGAAAGTTCAAAGTTTTGCAACAAGACTAGTCCCAGAGCTTAGGGGTATGTCCTACGAAGAGAGGTTAAGGAAATCGACCTGACGTCACTGGAGGACAGGAGAGATAGGGGAGACATGATAACGACATATAAAATACTGAGAGGAATTGAGAAGGTGGACAGAGATAGAATGTTCCAGAGATGGGACACAGCAACAGAGTAGTCAGCAAGTGGAATAGTTTGGGAAGCGATGTAGTGGAAGCAGGATCCATTCATAGCTTTAAGCAGAGGTATGATAAAGCTCATGGTTCAGGGAGAGTTACCAGTAGCGGCCAGTGAAGAAGTGGGGCCAGGAGCTATGACTCGACCTCTGCAACCACAACTAGGTGAGTACAACTAGGTGAGTACAACTAGGTGAGTTCAACTAGGTGAGTTCAACTAGGTGAGTACAACTAGGTGAGTAAAACTAGGTGAGTACAACTAGGTGAGTACATAATTACATATTCGGTAGAGGTTTAGTCACGAATATTACAAGTAGTGTCAGCGCTGACAATGAAGTGTGGTTACAGATGGCTGCAAGTCACTGTTCTTACCACCTCGTTCTTGCCTGTGCTATTTTCTACTAATGTCAAGCTCTTTGTCCTCTGCTCATGAATAGAGTTTTTATGTAAACAAGTTATATTAATTCTATCAAGTTACCCTCTGTCATTCTCTAGGTCAATGATATACAATAATGCAGTTTTTTATCTTTAAAGACGATGAAAAAATTCTAGGTTTTTCATGACTTTGTACCTGAATCAGATGAAAGTAATGGATTTTTAGGGTTACAGTTAGGTGAACAAAGTTACGTATAGAGTGTATCTCGCTATTAGCGGACGGTGTATCGAGCATTCACCACTCCTGCTGAATGGCCAACTTGTTTTTTTACGGCATTAAGTAAATAAATATTAAAGACGAATAAATAATTGTTTAAGCTTTTAACTAGAAGTAAATCTTAAAATATATTTACAGTAAATAAGGTCAGTCAGTTATAAACGAGAGTACAATGTAAACAGAGACAGAACAAAAGAAGAATGCACTGTTCTATTCTTGTATCATTCCTCAGATATGTTACAGTTTGAGTCAGAATCTGAAAGCACTAACTGAATATACAGCTTGGTCCTTGTAGCTATCACTGTTCAATGCTACACATTCCGAGTCCAACGGCTCATGTAGAACACAAGATTGATCCAAACAAAGGAGTAAGTTTTCTCAGGAGTAAATAACGGGGAGTGGAGAAAATATTAATAGGTATTTTCAAGATATAAAGAGAACACTAGCATGAGTTGTCTACTGTTTGGAGGACAGAGTGGGTTTATGGCCTCGACTGGTTGGTTAATGGGGTTTAATCATTGTCGAATAAACGCATGGTCATTAAGGCTATTTAATCTATTTGCCACAAGGCAATAAAACTACAACCCCTGAAATAGAATTAATGTAAATTCTTAGCACAATACACACTGAAACATATACACTTCTCAGTTTATATAAGTTTGTCTTGATTAATTCATCTCCTGACTGTAAAGTCTTACAGACAGAGAGGGTGTTACTTTTGATGCTTGTTAATGTAAATTAATTGTATCTAGCAAGTCCTTTGGATCATTTGCTGATACCTTACATTCCTCAGACACTACACTGCTACTAAACCAAGTATGGAGTGAGTGAAGCTTACGCCGACGTGTCGAGTCCGATTTGTCCCGACCCTTAGACGGTATTTTGCCTTTTGCTCTCAGACACTATTTGATCTTTGGATTTAAACAACTTATCTATTAAGTTGCAAGAACATTAATTCCAGTATATGATATTTGACCATGAGGATATTAGCTGTGTTACTCTTTCTGTTTACCATGATAGCTGGTATCGTGCACTGGTTAAAATTCATATTTTCTTCATGTAACACGCAATATTTTATCTTTTACTCTTATCATGCGAACCAAAATTACAAGAAAAATATTGGAAAAGATTTCAGTAAAAGCAAGTGTCTGTTGAAATTGGAGACTTAACAGGATTATCAGTGCAACAGTATCGAGAAGGAAGCATTTGAGATTTGGAGAGCATTCGTATTCTCCTGTTCTATGCGTACCTACATTTCGTGGGGAAAATCCAAGGTTTAAATTCTTTTAAATGAAAATTTAAATGTTTTTTTTGGAAAAAATTTTTTGTTTTTAACATTCAATTATGTGTTTAGGTGTCAAGCTAAAAGCATATGATTCATTCAACACAAAATGGAGATATATTTTATTGCTGGAATTTCACAGCAGCAGCGAATACTGAGAAAGTTCATCGTCAAGGACTTTATAAAAATGTAAAGCTTACGAAATGTATATAAGTGGATGTCACGTTAGCCATGTTCACTAACGTCCCTATAAATCTGTTCAAGGGAACCAACCGTAACCATGACCAGTTTTGAAAAATCACATCAAATAAATGTATTTCACGCTGACTGGAGTAGTGAGGTGTACTTTACTGTTTCTTTGTGACGGAATGTTTAGTGAAAGAGAGTTGCCATATCAGCTGGGGTATACCCGTAGACTACATGTTCGTGGTTCTGCGGTTCTCTCCTCCGCGATCCGGTCTCTGACCAGAAATCCTGGTTAACGGCCTGTTCAGTTACTCAGGTCTCCTAACAGCCAACAATATCAGTAAAGACAATAAGAATTCATACTTTAAATAACTTTACCTGTTCATAACACCAGTAGTAACAAGCGCCACTACGATCAAATCAGCAGTTCAACTCCCTCATTTTCTAAATTCGAAATATTTAAGAATAAAATCAGTCTTTTTTTTCACCTAATATTTAGGCCAAAATAAAATATATACAAATAACTAATATATTTATTAGGCTATTACCTTACATAAAATATCTCATTGTCATTGAAGTGTGCCAAATTTTCACACTTTGTTTCCAAAGATCAGTCGTTATGAGCAAACGTGAGGTGGGAAGGAGTCAAGGCAGTTCAACCATAATGCTTGTAAATGCGACGCTCGCAGATAATGGCCTTCGGGTGGTAGCAGGCGACGTCGTGCCACCTGATGCCGTCATTGTAGAAGCTGTTGAGCTCTGCCAGAAAGTCCTCCTTTCCTTCCTCAGCGTGTCTGGCTGGGGTATTCCCTCACTGAGGAAGAAAATCAAGTTATCGTCGTCGGACTGAGCACAGGGAGGGCCATAATGAACTCAAATATTGTGAGCAACATTCACAGCTGGTGTTCTATAACTCACTTAAACTCAGTATGCTGTAATGTCTGTTCATAATTTACACATAAAATCTCTATCTACGAAACTAATAATAGCATGTGTTTTATATAATATCTGTAGCGATTACGTACATTCATTTGAAAATGCAAAATGAATGTTATAATTAGCCAGTTAAAAATGGCGTGAAATGCAGGCTTCAACTGCATTTTTTTATGGAAAAAACTCAAAGAAAAAACTCAAAGTAACCTACAAATGTTTCAGAATAAATATGAGACAGAATCTTTACTTCGGCGTTAATCATTCCCTGCTGAACCCAAGAGAAAATGTTTTTACATAAATATTTACTTATATGTTTTATTTTATGAAGGCATCTGTTACCTCACAGAGTTGTCAGCCATCACATTACACAGCCTCGCTTAAACTAACCATGACAGAATATGATTGGGCCATTGGCTTACTATAGTAATCCTTATTTGGAAATAATTTTAATGTTAATAATACTTGAGTGCAAGGACTCAAACTGCCCAGTGTAGACCAGGTTAATACCGAAGAGGGATACCCAGAGGGCCAGGCGAAGTCATAACCGTAGCCCAATGCGGGTAACCCACCCGTCCAGATGTTACTCCAGCTTGTCTGTATGAGAGACATAAACGTTTTTTTTATGTCGGTAAAGTATTTAATTACCTGGAGGGAAAAAATCAAATCGGCATCACTTCACAACATTAACTAACATATTATTTGACGATTTTTTTAAATGTTTTTCAATGAAGTTATGTATTTATTTTTAAAGGGGAGGGGGGCAGACTTGCACTTTGATAGCGAACTATTCAACTATTAGCACAAAGGGGATCACTAAGCTCAAGATTCATCTCTTGCACTGATTGGACCACAAAGATTTAAGGGATTCATGTAGGAGATGAAATATAGTGTGATTGTAGAAGGAGGATTTCCCATTACTTTTGAATAGGCAGTAAATGGTGGGTGAACTTACAGAAAGATCTGAGGTTAGGTCTGCGGCTATATACCATTGTTTTACTTGACTTTGTAGGTGACATCAGGAGATGATTTTGTCCTCTTCTGGAGTCTCAATGCTGACGCCCTGCCATCCCTTGCCCAGACTGGAGCAGTAATAGTTAGCAGTATGCCAGTCGTACTTCTTGCCTCCGTCGTGACGCCACGAGAAGTGGTAGTCGCTCTCACCAACACTCAAGTCCACCTGTAAACAATACACATCTGAATAGCATTGTGTGAGCAGTAACTTTGATATACTTCAGTCCTAAGGCAATATTACTTAGCATCTCACACTGCTCCAATGACCTTCATGTATTAAATACTTCTATAGTTTACGGCTTAACATAAAATTTTAAGGAAATTCTTAGAGCAAACTATGGTGTGTATATTTTCTAAGGGCTTTAAATTTTTTTTATATCTATATTAACAATCTGGCATAGGATTTCCAAGTTAAACAATTTATATCGTTTTGTTTATCATATAAGATCCAGTCCTGTGCACTGTAATGTTTTTATTATTTTAGGAAACTTACCTTTGCATATCCAAGGCCAAGACCACCGCCTCCGATAAGGCCAGTACCACCATATCCACCACCCACGAGTCCACCTCCAAGTGGACCAGCTCCATATCCACCAAGTCCGTATCCAAGACGGCTGTAGGGACTGTAGTATTGGGCTGCTGCTGCCGCAGCTACGGTGAGAACCAACACTGCCTTCATCTGCAAACCAGACATGTACACTAACGGCTTCTAACTTGACAATATTATTTAAGAGATATATAGCAATATACATATATCAGTATTTCCTGAAGAGTGTCTGTGATTGAGTCCGTATTGAACAAGTGGTTTATTTTCCGTTCTTGTGGGAATTACGTCCACATAGCATCGCCTTCCGGTACACAAACTTATAAAATTGGCCTTCGTGACCATTTCCACAGATTCCATCTTTCTGCACAGAGTGATGTTGATAGAGTATTGACCGCAGTGGTTAGCCTGAAGATCCGTGAACAAAGTGAAATTCAACAAAGCACGACCATAGTCATTAGAGCACTGCCACACCTTTCACGAGAACACCATTGCCCCGTTAGCCCGTCTAGTAGAACACGGTGAGTTTCAGCAGTAGAACACAGTTAGGTAACACCCAGCAGAGTTTCTTAGCACTTACCGTGTCCTTCTGGGGGAGTGTACTCACTATCGTGTCTCTCCACCTTATATACCTCGTAGTCAGAGTATAATCAAGGTCAGACACAAAACATTAGTCTACCATGAACAATAATTCCACGTACCGGAAGTTCAGTGTAAACTTATTGCTATCACAAAAAAAAGAAAAAAGGCGAAATCTGTTGAAAACAGAACTTTATATTCAAAATTTGATTCTATCACGTTACCCATAGCATGTCTCTTTACTTTTCTTTATAATAAATGCCTTATGCTAGCCTTTATGATAGGAAGAATATTATTAACCCACAACATTTCGTGGAGTTTATTTGGTAAGTGTCCCTATGACGGTCGTAGCGAATAATGTGATTTTTTTTAATATTTTTTTATAATAAATTATTGTAACTTTTTTACTATTTACAAGGTTACATAGACAGTAGTTTGGAGGGACAAGAGCTACACTTCTGATTTAAAAAAGGGTACAGGAGGTGGAGGAAGTCTCGGTATAAACTTAAAGGTTAAGGTACACTTAGTGGCCACGGTAAACATACCAAGACCAGTTGGCTGCGGCGGATATCTATGATCTTCTTACTAAAGTTACAGTGGCAAAGGCCAGTATATTTCGTAAAAACCATCTTTGAAAAAAACCTGCATAGTTTATTATATATGATGTATATTTATTATTTTTATATTTATATATATATTTATATATATATATATATATATTATATATAAATATATTTATATATATATAATATTTTTATATATTTATATATGTGTGTGTATATATTTATATATATATATATATATATTATATATATATATTACTATATTATATATATTATGACGTTGAATGCTTTGGTTAACTTTTCGTTTATTATATTTAGCGTGAGGTGAAAATCAAGTGTGGGTATTGGGTTGCTTTGAGTAGTGGAGGACGATCCTCCGTCAGCTGGAGATACAGACGCTAATTCACTCTATTTGCTTTTCCACAGCCTTCAAGTCAATTTCATTTAAACCGAATACACATCAAAGTTCTCTACAAAATCCGAATTTCCTGTATTATTGTTATGAAGATAAAAAAATAAAGTTGATGAATCTTCAAATGGTGATGTATATTAATTTTCTTATTCAAGATCATTTTTTTATTTTAGTTAGTCTTATCATCCTAATTATGTAAACACCATAGTGGACGCTGCCTGGGGATTTTTTTTTTACTTGTAGACAAAATACCGCAGCAGAAAGGTGGGAATTTTTCCTATAAGAGGAGAATATTGTGATTCTTTTGGAAGAATGTTTATAAGAAGAGTGTTTATAAGAAGGTGTTTATAAGTAAGAGTGTTTAATAAGAAGTGTTTATAAGAAGAGGTTTATAAGAAGATGTTTATAAGAAGAGTGTTTATAAGAAGAGTGTTTATAAGAAGAGTGTTTATAAGAAGTGTTTATAAGAGAGTGTTTCTAGAAGATGTGTTTATAAGAAGAGTGTTTATAAGAAGGTGTTTATAAAGAAGAGTGTTTATAAGAAGTAGTGTTTTATAAGAAGTGTGTTTTATAGAAGAGTGTTTTAAGAAGGTGTTTTATATGAAGCGTGTTAATAAGAAGAGTGTTTATAAGAAGAGTGTTTATTAAGAAGAGTGGTTTATAAGACGTGTTTATAAGAAGAGTGTTTATAAGAAAAGTGTTTATAAGAGAGTGTTTTAAGAAGAGTGTTTATAAGAAGAGTGTTTATATAGAAGAGTGTTTATAAGAAGAGTGTTTATAGAAGTGTTTTAAGAAGAGTTGTTTATAAGAAAAGTGTTTTAAGAAGAGTGTTTTAAGAAGAGTGTTTACTTAGAAGTGTTTATAAAGAAGAGTGTGTTTATATGAAATGGTGTTATAAGAGTGTGTTGATAAGAGACGTGTTTATTAGAAGAGTGTTTATAAGAAAAGTGTTTTTTTAAGAAGAGTGTTTATAAGATGAGTGTTTATAAGTAAGGGAGTGTTGATAGGAAGTGTTTATAAGAAGAGTGTTATAAGAGAGCGTTTATAAGAAGAGTGTTTATATAGAAGAGTGTTTATAAGAAGAGGTTATAAGAAGAGTGTTTATAAGAAAATGTTTATATTGAAGATAATAACAATGACCTTATTGGAAAACACTTCATTAATAAAAGATAAAAGCATAGACGCTAGTGAGAAAAATGTTGATAATAATGAGGACAAAAAAGGAGTACACTAATGGGAAGCTCTGCGTTACTAGAGGACAAAACAAGGAGACAATAGTGGGAAAATTAACGCAAATCACAGGACGGACGGGAAAATAACGGTGACTTGACATGTTGTAACCTCATCTCATTGTTAACGGCCGAAATATGTCTGATTTTCGTGAATACACTCTAGCTTAATAATAATTTATATTGATAAACATAAAATTAAAGGGATATAAAACAGAATGAATGGGAGACAGAGGTATACACACACACACCACACTACACACAACCACACAACACCACAATTTATATATATATTATATATATATATTATATAATATATATATATTATATATATATTTATATTATATATATTTATATATATATATATTTTATTTATATATATATATATATATATATATTATATGTGATTGTGTGTGTTAAACAGTTTTACATGAATTAATTGCATATATAGTAGGAAAAATTAGATTTAAAGCATTGTTTCAATGCAAAGTTATCAGCTTTTCCATGAGGAAATTATTCAATATTCCCGGGTATATATTCTTCAAAAGTCAGCTTTTAAAAAAAAAAATAAATAAAAAGCAATTTCCATTACCAGAACCCCCCCCCCCCCCAATAAAAAAAAGGAAACTAACGAAAAAAATATGTTCTAAATCTTGTTCCTGTGTTTAGTTCTAAAGGGCTTCATAGCAAAACAAAAAACAACTATAATAAACTGTTGTGATGAGAAAACCAGACAAAGAAAGTGGTTAAAACTTCAATTCCTTTCAAGGTAAACAAATTTTAGCATTAACAATATCATAAGTCCTGGTTTAATTTGCCTATTAAAAAAGAAAGAAGCTCATCTAGAATTTTTAAATCCAATTCTCTCCTGCCAATTAACTATAATTTTTAAAATCCTCTTTTGCAAACTAATGATTTGTTGAATTGATTGTGAATTCTCATACTGTTTGATTTGGTGATTAAAGCCTGATGATAGTAGTTGAATTTTTTTTACCAAAAGGTGATAATTATTTAATGCAATGAATGATTCAATGAGATATTATCTCTCTAAAAACTAAGTCTCATGGAACAGTCCAATAAATAAAATGAGAATGAACGGTACTGCAGTGATGCTCTGAATCTGATACCCTGCATGGTACTCAGAGGGTTAATCACTTATAACCTGCCACTGGTTACTTCAGGGTTAATCAATTATACCCAGCACTGGTAACTTCAGAGGTTAAATCCTTATTTCCCTCAGCCACTGGTACTTCAGAGGTTAATACTTATACCCAGCACTGGTACTTCCCTAAGTTAATCAACTTTTATACCCAGCACTGGGAACTTCAGAGGTTTAATCACTTATACCCAGCAATGGTACTTCAGAGGTTAATCCACTTATTACCCAGAACTGGTACTTCAGAGGTTAATCACTTTACCAGCACTGGTACTTCAGAGGTTAATCACTTGATACCCCAGCACTGGTACTTCATTGGTTAATAACTTATACTCCAGCAACTGGTTACTTCATGAGGGTTAATCATTATTTACCCAGCACTGGTACTTCATTGGTTATTACTTATACCTGACACTGGTTACTTCATTGGTTAAGCACTTTTAACACATGCACTGGTACCTTCAGAGGTTAATCACTTTATACCAGCACTGGTACGTCATTGGTTTTTAATCATTATACCCAGCACTGGTTATTCAAGAGGGTTAATCACTTATACCCAGCACTGGTACTTCATTGGTTAATCACTTTTTCCCACAGCACTTGGTATTCATGGGTTAATCACTTATACACCAAGCACTGGTACATCAGAGGTTACAGCACTTATACCCAGCACTGGTACTTCATTGGTTAATCACTTTTACCCTGCACTGGTACTTTCAAATTGGTTAATCACTTATACCCAGCACTGGATACTTCATTGGTTATAATCATTATACCAAGCATGGTACTTATTGGGTTTATCACATATACCCTGCCACAGGTACTTCAGAGGTTATCATTTATACCCAGCACAGGTACTTCAAGGGTTAATCACGTTATACCCTGCACTGGTACTTCATTCGGTTAATCATTATACCCAGCAACCCTTTTGGTACTTCATTGTAATAACTTATACCTTCACTGGTTCTTAGAGAGTTAATCACTTATACCTCCAGCACTGGTACTTATTGGTTAATCACTATTACCCAGCACTGCGTTACTTTCATTGGCTTAATTCACTTATACCCAGCACAGGTACTTCGAGTTAATCACTTTTACCCAGCACAGGTACTTCGAGAGGTTAATCACTTATACCAGCACTTGGTTACTTCATTGGTATTCACTTATACCCAGCACTGTACTTCATTGGTTAATCTCTATACCCAGCACGGGTACTTCAGAGGTTAATCAATTATTACCAGCATGGTACTTCATTGGTAATCACTTATTACCCTGCCACTGGTACTTCATTGGTTAATATCACTTATACCAGCACAGGTACTTCAGAGGTAATCACTTATACCCGCCAGGTACTTCAGAGGCTTAATCTACTTTATACCCAGCACTGGTACTTCAGAGGTAATCACTTTTACCCTGCACTGGTACTTCAGAGGTTAATCACTTATACCCAGCACTGGTACTTCAGTGGTTAATCACTTATACCCAGCACTGGTACTTCAGAGGCTAATCACTTATACCCAGCACTGGTACTTCAGAGGCTAATCACTTATACCCAGCACTGGTACTTCAGAGGTTAATCACTTATACCCAGCACTGGTACTTCAGAGGTTAATCACTTATACCCAGC